GCTTCTCTCTGTAGCGACAGATAGATGATGGCAGTTTCTGAAGAGCGCAGGCTCCCCCTCCTTGAACTGTGCGCACCTGAGATGAAGCTCTCTGAGGAAGCTGGAAGGGCATCCAAGGCAGGTACCCTGAACGCAAAAACAGTCCCTCATCCGGGGCTTTAGTGGGACATACGGGGCAGGTAAGGCTGGAGGAAGCAGTGCCTGGTAGAGCGGCTTTCTCATGAGGGTCTTCAGCAACAGAAATAACAACAGCGTGCAATGAGGGAAAAGGAAGGGTAAAGGAAACTGAGGTATTTATTTTAAAGCAAGCAGGAAACTGCTGGGGAGGATGCTGTGAATCAGGTTAGTTTCTGGCAGAAACCAGGTAGGTTCATGTTTTAAGAGTTTGGCTTAAAAAAAATACACGATTGTAAAATCATTTTTGCATCACAGGTTAGTGAGGCCAGCAATATTAAAGTTATATAATTGATCTGTATTGCCAATGAGTATTGTTAATTATATAATTATTATACACAAATATGTATTTGTTATATATAAATATGTACAATATATTTTCTCTATTTTCCCAATTTATTTTAAAATATACTTTACTAAATCAGTGATGCCTAATCTGTCTAAGTTCTTGTATTTGCATACAAAGCACAAGCTTACAATCCAATTGTTTTAGAAAAACTCTTTCAAGAAAATGTTGACATGAAAAAAATATTTATTTCTCTCTCTCTACATTTCCTTTCTACACACACAAAAAAAATCAAGAGGAAATTAATGAAGATATAGTGATGAAATTAAACTTATGGGTTCTCTTTCTTAAGAGGAAATTTTACATTTAAGTGTGGGTCAAAGGCAATAAAAAGACCCTAATTTTACATTCATACAGAGACAGACAGTTGCAAGAAGAGAAGAGTGTATATCAAAAAAGCTCTAAAGGAAAAGCCCTCTATCAATGTATCTTCCACAGTGATAAATTCATGTAAGTCTATCACAGATTTATGTAATTATGTAGAGAGTAATTAATTTATTAATTATAAGACTAAATTCACATATATATGTATATGTATGATAATTTACATACATACGTCATGTACTAAAAGAGTATTAAGCAGTTGCTTCACAGTTGAAGAGATGTTTGATATTAAGCAAAAATTAAAAGTTAGTAAAATAAAAACAAAATTCCATTTATGCAACATATAGAAGTTTGATAAAACATAGTGCTGTGTATAACCCCGTAATTAACCCAAATCTTTTAATATCTATTAAGATTCCCACACCAGAGCCAAGAATATTTGGTCTGCATTTGCTTCTCCCTGCTATCTTACTATAGCACATTATACTTATCTTAAATTCCTGATTTATGGTAGAACTTATGGATATTCCCACTGGGATCCTCAAAACTCTTAATTTGTTTACATAGTTTGGCTTCTTTCCAGATTTATGTGAACAGTATCTGATCCAAGAAACAAACAGGCGGAAAAGTCTTTGAATAGCATTCTTTTACTATCAGGTCATACACATCCCATTCAGTAAAACAGGCAACTGAATTCCTGAACTGGGCAGTTCAATAATACATTTTTTAAAACTCAGGGGGAGATTAAAGAGAATTATTTTCTATTCAAACGAGAAAAGAAAAAGGAACTATGAACTTAATAGGGTCTTAAAAACACACACAGGATGGGAAAGAAATTCCTCCAAACTATTGAAAAAAAATGAGTAACATACAGATTTTATCATCTATTTCCTCCTCCTCCTCAAAGGGATGTTTTGTTATCCACTTAGACTGAAGAGCTTACTTTCTACCAAATTAAGGGCTCAGATGTAAAGAATAGGAAAGGGAAAGAAAAAAAAACTTGACATACCAACAAACCAACCAATTTCAATAGTCCATTTTATAATGAGGTAGAACAAAGAACAAAATAGATAACTCCCAAATGGCAAAGTTCCAGAAACTTCATTCGGTTAATCTACCAGACGCTGTGCCAAACCTCATCCAAATAACCCAATTATTACAGTCGACAGACTAGGGGAAATTCTTACAAAATTGGCCTCTGTGTGGAATCTCAAATCATGTCTCCACTCGGGTCAAAAAGATCACTAGGATTGCCTTGTTGAAGCTTTTGCCTCTGGGCTTAACTGCAATTTTGCAAAATGGAAAATGAGGGAATGCATCCAGGTATAATTCTGGATGTAGATTTAAATCAGATTTTTAAAAAACTTTAAGTAAAAAAAATAGTTCCTCCTTACTATAATCTAATTCTCTGAAAAACTGTCCAAAGTAGAGTCAGAAATTCTGGACTTCCAACCTCAGTTTAACTTTAAGAGTACTGGGTGTGCCCAAAATCTCTGCATCTGCCTTTCTTCAATTGTCCTATCACAAAGTGGACAAGGACCTACCTCACAGAGACCATTCGAGGATTAATTAAGGGTAAACTGGAAGAAAACAATTGCATTTGACAAGCCAGGCTTTATTCATGTTGCTAAAGAGACCCAGATGTTTTCACAACTGTCCAGATTATTTGGTAGCATTCTAAGTAGAAAATAAATTTGCATAATTCATTTCAGCTGTGAAGACATTTTTACAAATCAAAGATTCCAGTATTTCAGAACGGAAGAGAAAAACAATCTGTCTCCATTCAGGTCGGACTCATAGGGAGCACCATTCACCCCAGCTTTCCCACTGAGTAAACATTGTGAACACATGTGCTTAGGAAAGTCTCAAGGCAAGAGAAGACTTCATACTTCCTCATGCCTGGATACTCCCTAACCTTCCTTTCTCTCATAAATACAATGATGGCATTTAACTTCTTTTGCCCCATCTTTCTGCATTGCTGAGGCAAATGGCTAGATGCAACTCTCAGCTCACCAACTTAATCATCTTACCCTTTCCTTATCCAAGTGTCTGATCATTCATTGCCTGAGGCAATCCCAACAATGACAGAGTTTCACAGAGATAGCATTGATAATAATTGTAAGGGAGTGTCAGTCTTTGCAGATTTTCCTGGCACATGCAGATCCAAGGATGTTCCAAAATATGTTTGTGTGTTGGGGGTGGTGATGGCAAAGGGAAGAAGGAGTTTAGAAACACTGCAAGTACAAAAAATAATTTTCTTTCTCTTGCTATTCAAGGAAAAAAATCTTGGGATTTCCATCTTGGAGGGTCATACTTTAAGGAATCTTAAAATAATATGTTTTATAATATTGTATAGCAACATACTTAGGAATATAAGCACTGAAGTTCAATAACCAAATTTTGATCTCTTTTCTCCCACTTGCTGTTTGGGTGACTTGGAATAAGTTATTCAAAATGTATGTGCCTTGGTTTCCTCATCTTTAAATGGAAATTGGTATACTACCTATCACATAAAATTATTATAAAGAAAATAAGTTACATACATGTAAATCACTAAGAAGAATTTCTGGGACATAGTAATCACTTACTAAATGTTAGTTATTTTATTATCTATTATTTTTAATTCTCATATTTTAACTCAGCATCATATCAGGGCAAAGAAATTTTAATCTTTTTTAAAAATCTTTCTAAAACACTCAGGTCTACTCTGTCTTTTAGTAACTATTGAATAGAGAAGGAAGCAATCCTCTGAACCTCCTAGCACTTTGGGGTCATTTCCCTGACCAACATTTCCCCTTGCTTTAGCAAAATGTGCGTCCCCAGGTACGTCCCAGATTTGTGAGGGCAAATATACCAAACACTGCCACAGAGCTTTCCTTGCTTAGCAATTGATGTGCAATAAAAAGATTCAAAACTCATTGATATCAAAAAAACATGGAACACTTATTTAACTCACCTGTCTGTTGGAGGTTGACTGAACTGGGCTAGGTGGCCCTGCTGATCTCAGCTGGACTGGTCCATTCACGTGGTTAGAGATCAGCTGATACGGGCTCTCCCTTTCCTTTTGGAGGCAGCAGGCCAGGCTGGGCATGTCCACCTCCTGGGGTGGCATGAGTGGAAGAGAGCAGGCAGCAACGTGGACGCTCTCTTAGGGTCCAGTCTCTGTGGCGAGCTGCCATTCTGACTCACTCTACTGGTCAAAGCAGGTCATGTGATGAATCTCAAAGTCAAGAGGTAGAAATATACTTCTCCTATAGAAGCTAACTAGAGGGGAAGAGTATTTCTGAACAAAAATTCAACCCACCACTCTCATGCCGTCATTGTTAAGAGATCACAATATTCTTTTCCATTGTATCCAAGTATTGGTTTTATAGTCTTGGAAGCCACTATAAATGCAAGAAACCTGCTAAATGTGAGGAAGGGAATAAAAACTCTAATTGAGACTTCTGGTTTTGCAAACATTTAATATGTTTTATAGAATAATATATCTGGATATAAAATTCTATCTATGACATAAAACATCACATTGGTATATTTTCAGAACAAAAGGTTATATTTAATCATTCAATTGTAACTGAGTGACTTTGCAAAGATATGCGTACATGTTACCGAACAGCAAGTGGGGTCCTGCTGCCCACCACCACCCTCCAGGGAAAATTCTGGAAGCAGAGGTTTGGCAGTAAAGGAACGGAGTCTTTATTCAAAAGCTACACAATTGGGGAATAACAACTTTCCACATGCATTAGTCACTTAAGCCTATCAATTAAGGCTAAACTCTTTAACTCTTTAGTTATAGCTGTAATAATCACTAAGCCTATCAATTAAGGCTAAAATATTTAACTCCTGAGTTCCCTATCATTCCCCCCTTTAGTTTTTAATTATCTTATTTCTATAGGATTAGTTTACAAACTAAAACAACATAAGACACAAAAGCGACACAATTTTGGAAGAATGGCAGGCTTCTGCTCAGAGCCCACCCCTACTAGAACACCCAAAGAAAAATAACCCTGCTCCCCTGCTAGGCCAGCCCAATCCTAGGCAGTGCCAGTGGTTTCTTCTCTCATCTTTTGGCAAATGCAGGCAGCTACAGCACGGTCATCCAGGCATGCTCGAGGAAGAGGGCCCAAGAGCCAGTCTCTGCCCTCCTTTTATATGAAATCTTCTGGCCCATAATCCCAGGCAACCCAGAAGCATTCAGCTTCTCCTCCAGCCCCTTCATAAACTGTTTATCATGGCCTTGGGCAACCTCTTCCTACGGCCCCTCCCTTCTCCGCCCCAGTGATCTGATCAGATTTCTCTGTACCACATATACAATAAATATAATGAAAATTGACATTTGATTTTAAAATATCAATGGTTTATTTAGTTATTTATTAATTACTTTTGTTTTGTGAAGAGAATATATTGAGAATCTTTAACAGTGATTTGTTACTTTTCATTTTAAAAATATCCATACATTTTCACCATTTTGAAACTAAAAATGTTTAAGAACATATATAAATGTTACAATGCCAAAACCACTTACACAGCCACTTACTTTAAATCATACTAATACTAAATTGATATGCATTTTTCATTTATTGTTTATTTTTGAATTAAACTTTTAAAATAACTTCAAATTTTCTTTTTCCACATGGCTTTCTTTACATTTTTATTAAAGTATTATGATTTTGACATAATTAGTTTAAACATTAAAAGGAAATAAAATTTGAAGATTCAATATTAAAAAATACTGTATTGCAACTTGATTTTATAAAATAATCATTGGGTTAATACATATAAAGGAAAAAGTGATTATAATTATAATAAAGTAGCATGGGAAAAAAACACTTTTTTGTTAAACCAATGCAAAATGTTTAAACTGGCCACAGTAAGAATGGCTCTGGGTAGAATATACGGGTCTGAATTTTATCTGTAAATGAGTATACATGCAGCACATTATCTCTCAAATTGAGCACTTTAATGAGAAAAACGACTACCTCCTACCAATATGTCATTAATAAAATCATTGGTCAAACTGTTAAATTCCTAAAAAGGTTATCTTTAAATTGCATTTAATGAGATAGCATATGTTCAGGAAAAAGAAAGTCTTTTTACAAAATTGTCCCCAAGTAGAAAGCAATTTCAGGAACCTGAGGAATAATTACTATTATTTTTAATGGCTTTTGGAAATAAAGTGACAATAGACAGTTTTCCTGAAAGGAAGCCTCTGGATCTCTTAAATAATAGAAACAGCTAATTTATCTTTCTCCCCTGGTCAATAATTCCCTCAACTCCCTTCACCCTTAGGTACAATTTTTGCAAGCTGGAAAGATGGCTAGAAGGCCCAAAGCTTCAGGACTGCTGCAGCTGATGCGGCTCAGTTCGTTGGGTGCCATCCCACAAACGGAAAGGTCCCCAACTGGATTCTGGTTGGGGCACTTGTCTAGGTTGTAGGTTTGGCCCCTGGTCAGAGCGAATTCATATGGCAACCAATCGATGTTTCTCTCCCACATTGATGTTTCTTTCCCTGTCTTTCTCCCTCCCTTCCCCTCTCTCTAAAATCAAACATCAAAATTAAAAACAAACGCTTCAAGACTTTCCTCTGGTAACTGGGCAGAGCTGCCCCTTCTGTCCATCCCCCAGTGCTCACCCCAGCCTCTGGCTGACTTCCCACACACAGCCTCTCTGCCAGGTGTCCCTCTCCAGCAATCACGGTTTACAGTGGTTTTGACTTTAAGCCCTGGTTTTTGTTACTAGGCAGCCACATGGCTTTGGGCAAGGTAGTTAAGACTCCTGAGCATCCCTTCCCATCTAAACTGTAAAAGATGTGGGGGGATTTCATTAAATGGTTTCCAAGGCTGTGAATCACTTGTAAACTATAAAGAAAAAAATAAAATAAAATTTTATGATGATGGTGATGATGATGGTAGTGATTAGTTTAGACACAATTTAATATTTTATTAGCTAAACCTCATTACACTAAATGTTTCCAATTGCCTAGGGTAAAGTCATACTGATTACTCCCAGATAAATTCTTGTCTGGCGTAACATTCCATTATTAGGCTGAATCTAAGGTACTCAGCCAGCACTCGGTCCATACAGTGGTTTTGTTGTGCCATAGATACGCCTTCCCTGCCTTGAACTTGAAGACACTCACCCTCCCTTTAAAACCCTGATAACATTTCCCCATTTGCCTTTATAAACAACTTTAAATTCTTAAAAACATTTTCACCCAAAGACTTCAATAGGCAGAAGGTGTGAACCTTTCACAACACAGCTGACCCTCCACCTAAACAACATAGACCTTCTACCCAAAATTCACACATTGCCCGTATACATCCACCCTCAGGATTCGAATTAAATGATTTATTTTTTATTTCTGAACATCGAGAGAGAGAGAGAGAGAGAGAGAGAGAGAGAGAGAGAGGGAGAGAGAGAGAGGGAGGGGGGGCAAGCCCAGGAACATGGATAGAAAGTAAAAAATCGCATTTCATTTAGAGGAATGGATTGCAGTATTTACCCCACGTCCATTGCCTTCTACTCGCCACCACTTCCATATGAAGTACAAACTCCCCTGCTAATAGTCGCACTTGAGAGTATAGGAAAAGTTATCCCACATGTTAAAAAGAAATTCCACAAGGTAGATATGTTATAGGAAATATTTTGTGCAACTTTCATAGTTTCCATGTGCAGCCTAAATCCTGGAATAATCTGATCTAATGTGATTTTAGAAAGCACATGTAAATATGGAATAAAAGGCATCCCTAATGACTGGATGTACATAATTATACAATGCAGTTAATATAGGGGAAATCACTACTATGTAAGATGTATATACCGGTGGAAATTTGAAAGAATAAAAACCTGCTTTATGGAGCAGCATCTATATCAAACGAATAATTATGTTCTTGGACATACAATGACTTCCTGATTTTTAAAAGACTAACATGAGGTTGACCAGAATAACTTCACTTTTACGAAGTTTCCCAGGCTTCTTTAAAATTCATTCAGAAAACCCAGAAAGCTTTTTAAAATGAGTAAAAATTACATTAAATCAAGGAGCATATTACATCTGGTTTAGGGATCTTGAGTAATGTGAGGACCAATGGTGAAGATATTTGAACCAGAATTCCCTATCTACTGTTTTATTTTACTGTTTTAAGGCATGGAAAATAAGAACACAAGTCAGTATCTCATGGTGAGAGGACAATTTTAGAATTAAGAATAATTCTGAATCTTATCTATTAATTTCAGTTTAGTGTCATTTATTAATTAGCATGAGATAATAGTTCAAGATTTCCAAATTCTCATTCCTTGGAGGATTAGCTCACCCATCATTATTTCTATTTGATCTTTCATGCTTTTGTGAAAAGATTATGTGAGGGCTATTATTTTCCACTTATATACTCTTTCCTGGTTCAGGCAATTTATATTAGACATTCACAAAAAGTAAATTTTAATTTCACAGATATAAACATTGATCCACTTTTATAACCCGAGCATGATATTCTATAAACTGTGAAACATAAAAGACAACTTAAACATTCTACCACATACAATAAGGAGAGAAGCACAAAAGAGATACAGTACTTAGATAAATGTTTCTATAAGCTCAGTAGGTAATTTTCTCTGTGTTCTTCATGCTACCAGAAGCTGACCAATGAATCCAGAGTTTCTTTCTTTGATGAAGGTGGTAATGATAGTGGCACTTTGCCTTACACTCTCCTGTAGCTTCTGCTTGTCCTGAGAAAAAGAAAAAAGGATAAAACAATATTTTAGAAAGAGCAGATGTCACACACTAAATTTAGTAAAGAGTTACTTTTCAAAAACCGTATTTATTTAAATGTTTTTCCCCAGCCTAATAGAGATATAATTGACACATAATATTGTATAAGTTTAAGGAGTACAGTGCAATTATATATATACATACATATGTGTGTGTATATAGTATGTCCAGAAAGTATCCATCCATGTACTATGAAAAATAGAGACACGCATTGAGGAAGATACAAGGTACAAGAAACGTTGTACGTAGGACAGTGATGCCTCAGTCCCCTTCAAAGTAGGCACCTTAGGACCTCACACAGTTCTCCCAAATGCAGCACATGTTCCTTCTGCTCTGGTAGCAGAAGCCATGGAACAAATTTTGCCACAACATGTTTCATGCCAAGATCCTGCATCAAAATCTCGGACACAGTAGTTTTTGGAATCCCCAGATCAGCTTCTGGTTCTCGCACTGTCAGTGCAGATCTTTGTTGATGGCAGCCCATACACGCTCAACATTCTCAGGTGTTCTGGTGGTTCTGGAGCCTTCCAGAATGTGGCTCACTTTCAACAGATTCTCAACAATCTCTGAAGTATTTGTGCCACACTATTATTTGTGCTGCATTCATTGCATCATCCTGAAAGCCTTCTGAATCATTCGAACAGTTTCCACGGAGGAATGTTCAAGCTTAACACAAAATTGGATGCAGATTCATTGCTCTACTCACTCACTTTGAATGCAACAGCCACACAGTACACACGCTCACTCAACAGCATCTACTGCCCCCCCGACTAATACAGTGAAGTCATCATTGTTCATGCATGTGCATTGCAGTCCACTCTCCTTAGCTTTCAGGCTACATTGATGTTGTATGAACTGTTCTTGTTATATTAACAATGGGTGGACTTTTTCTGGACAGACTTTATATATATATATACATATATATATTTTATATATATATATAATGAAGTGATTAAGGGAATAGTTATCACATGTGTCACTTCACAGAGTTACCATTTTGTGAGGCTGGGTGTATGAGAACACTTAAGATCTACTCTCTTAGCAACTCTCAAGTATGCAATACACTACTGTTAACTATAATCACCATGCTGTACAATTCCCAGAACTTACTCACCTTGTAATTGGAAGTCTGTACCCTCTGACCGACATCCTCCCGTTTCCTCCCCCCTCAGCCCCAGCAAAAACCATTCTACTCTGTTCCTCTGAGTTCAAGGAGCCACCTTTCACAGTCCTCGGCTCTCCTGCCTCGGCATTCTGCGGTGCTCAGACCACAGCCACAGGCAGGATCACAGTCCCCCGGACAAGGGAGAAAGGCTTTTGCTGAAGATAGCCAGAAAAACACTGAAGCAATTTCAAGGGCTAACACCATGAAACAAAAGATTGTTTTCCTTTAATCCAATAGCTGACCGACTTTGGCTCTCCGCTGAATTGTGGCTGTTCTGCTGAAGATGTGCCCCTTTGCTCCGCCTTGTTTCCAAGTGTCCTCCAAGGACAGACTGTCACAAAAGGTGAGTGCTGGTGTGGGGGGTGGTGAGGGTGTGGGGAGACCTGCCGTTTGTGAAGTCAGGATCAGGCAAATTTGTGAAATGAGTTATCTCTCAGTTGCTAAAATGTGGTTTTGCCTTTGAAGTCATTTTGGCTATTAGAATATGTTTATCTTAATCACTGAGGCTTCTTGAAGCTATGAAGAAGCGATACTGTGAAGGGAAAGGGAAAGCGGAAATGGAGCTCATATCTTTAAGTTTCTGTGTTAAGAATTGTGCTGCATTCAAAAGGTGGGATCTGGTAATCAGCCTCTGAACTTGGCGTCATCCCGAATGCATTATTCCAATGCTGAGCATGTCTCTAGGACCTACTGCCTCTAAATCCTACATATTTCTCGAGTTCACATGCTCCACTCCATCTCTTGCATTCACCTACGGCCACTGCCAGCACGACACCTCTGTCCTGAGTTACTGAACAATCTCACAAACCGTCTCTCCAAAGTTCTGCACTGTCCCACCCCGTTTCCCACACAGCACTCAAAACATTTACTTTAGAAAAGAGATCTGGCCTGGCTGGCGTAGCTCAGTGGATTGAGCGTGGGCTGCGAACCAAAGTGTCACAGGTTCGATTCCCAGTCAGGGTACATGCCTGGGTTGCAGGCCATGACCCCCAGCAACCGCACATTGATGTTTCTCTCTCTCTCTCTCTTTCTCCCTCCCTTCCCTCTCTAAAAAATAAAGAAATAAAATCTTAAAAAAAAACTTAATGATTGTAATATGTGAAAAAGATAAAATTCTATATAAATGTTTTAAAAAAGCCTTTAAAAAAGAAAAGAGATCTGATCTCATCACTATCCTGCCTAAAATCCTCTGAAGGCTACTTTTAAACTTCAGGATCAAGTCTGAACCCTTTGCCTGGCAAAATCAAGAGTCTTGTATATCCAGCCTCTCCTTCAAAGCCACTCAAATCTCCAGGCCACACAGAACTGTTTAGGATTGCTCACGCAAGCCGTTTTTCCAAGCTTTATACCTGTGCACCAGCTAATCCCCTTGCCAGAAAAGCCTTCCCACTCTCTTCCCAGCTTAGCTGGCCCCGGTTATTCCCTGTGGTTCCATCCAGATAGCAGTGACTCCTGAAACCTGTCCTGTCTCCTGTCCTCCGGACCAGTTCAGGCGAGGTGACTCTGTTCCCACAGCTGGGAACACCTCTAGCACACTGGGTTCTAAATAGTCTTTTTAGTTGACCATTTATTCCATCACATGATGTTGCTTGATGTAAAGAATTTTTCATTTTATCTTTGAATATGAAACACTTAGCTCAATGCCTAACACATGGTATCACTCCATAAATTATAACAATTCAAAGCAAAGGAGGCTCTATGATAGAGATATCATCACCCTTGCAGTGTAACTCATTTGTTAACAATGACCACTATTTGGTTACTTTGTTTACTCCTATTTGCATATTTAGCCAGAAGCCTTGGCAGTAGTACAAAGAAGAACAGTCTCTAAGCTTCACCACTGCCACCAGCCTCCACTAGCCCAGGCCCTGGGCTTCTCATCTATGAGGATGGTGATGAGAGACCACCTCCATTACGCTACTCCTTTCATCCCTTTCCCGGATCGAGTTCTCAAAGGTGAAGTGGGGCAAGACACGCAAGGGGCTGCATGGTGGCCACCCTGGCCTCTTGCCTGTGGGTTTTAATGACATTTCAGCATTCCAAATGCTGTACTGGGTTCCAAATATCACAAGACCTAAGTGACACAAAACCAAATGATTCTAAAGCCAAATAGGTTTGGGCTTAAACTGTGATGCACTTACATGCCACATCACTCCTAAACAAAGACATAAGTATTCTGAAACTGAACAAAATGAAAACCAACTATATATATATATGTCAGTCTTAATGATTAATTAATTACAATGTTGCAGTATTTATAATACACATTCACCCCCAAGTCTCATTTTTTAAATTAAGGCATACAACACATGATGATAATTAAAATTTCCACTTCAAAAATAAACACAGAAAGGCTATCTGTATAGCTTCTTTGAAATCTGTTTGGACTTGTCAAAATGAAAGCAGAATAGTAACAAATGAAGAAGCAAAAGGGAAAAATCTATTTAAGATTCCAGGGCTAGAAAAAGCACCTTTCCATATCTCCAAATAAATTTCTATTCTCATCGTGGTAGTTCCATAACTTATGTATCTTTAGATAATAAAGAATTTAAGTAAGAATGCTCTTTCAAGGGTTCATTTACTCGTGCATGTTTTCCAGTACTTGGAAAGATTAGAATTCAGTGAGGAGGACCTGTGTTATTCCACTGACTGTGTGTTTTCTCTCTCTGCCTCACCTCGATTGCTCATTTCATCCTTGAAAGACATGGAAATTTAAAATGGATTAAAGAAAATAGTGAGACATACACAAAATTCTAGTGTGTACGAAGAGCATACAGCCCATCTATTTGTGGGTTTCAAACTCATCGCATGATTCTGTATCTCTATAAAAGTACTGATAACACAAGCACAAAAAATGCCAACTCAAATGGGTCTTAAAAAGGCATTTCTTGATGCCATCAGATATTCAGAACAATGTGTTTCATTCTTGTCAAGGATGGAGAGTGAAGGGGCATTAATAGGTGGTCATTTTAGCATCACTCACACATAGGTATGTATAAGTATATACATGTACATTCCTTCGTGTGTTCTAAATATCACATCATAAAAATGTTTAACTGCTAACACTAAGTAAGAAAGGTCAACACGAGGCTGAAAAATCATGTTGATGATAATGCACTCTTTTTTTTTAAAGATTTTATTTATTTATTTTTAGACAGAGGGGAAGGGAGGGAGAAAGGGGAGAGAAACGTCAAAGTGTGGCTGCCTCTCGCGCGCCCCCCACTGGAGACCTGGCTGCAACCCAGGCATGTGCTCCATCTGGGAATCCAAACAGCAACCCTTTGGTTCACAGGCTGGCACTCAATCCACTGAGCCACACCAGCCAGGGCTGATAATGCACTCTTGATACGATGTGATGTAAATGGCATTCACCTTTGTGGTCTTCCTCCCCCAAAACCCATAATCCCTAAACCACGTGTGTACGTGGTTTAAACCACGAGAAAAACATCAAACAAATTCCAGTAGGGGGGCCTCCCACAATATATATGCGCAGTCCTCAAAACTGTCAAGTCATCAAAAACAAGAAACTGTCACAGCCAGGAGAAACCTAAGAAGATCTGACAACTAGAAGTCATATGGAATCCTGGAATTCAAAAAAATATATTAAGTAAAACTAAAAAAATCTGAATAAACTATGGAGTTCAGTTGCTAATAGGGGAAACTGGCTGCAGGGCCTGTGGAGAACTCTGTGTAATCATCTGAATGTTTTATAAATCTAAAAAGCAAAGTATTATTTTTCAAAGAAAAGGTAAGTACATATTTAACTGCAGAGTCCAAATTGCAAGAAAGGTT